CCCCCGCCCAGCCCCCTCCCCAGGCCCGCCTGTCCCCCCCGGCAGCCCCTACCTGCTCCCCCGTCAGCGCCTGGGCCACTGTCACGGTCCCCACGGCATCCAGCTCGAAGAGGATCACCTTGCCCTTGTGCTGGAAGCGGGGGGCTCCGGCCACGTACAGGCGCTGCCCGCCCTGCAGCCGCAGTGAGGAGACGGCGTAACCTGGGGTGGGAGAGCCCGGGCATCAGCGGCAGGGAGAAGCCCTGGCGTTGGTGGGGCTGGTCCTCGGCCACCCTGTGTCCCTGGGGCACCCCGCACCCCCGGGGCACCCAGCGTCCCAGGGCACCCGGCATCCCTGGTTCCTCTCCATGCCCAGGACGCCGAGCATCCCATTTGCTCCACATCCCTGAGGTGCTGAGCATCCTCAGTCCCCTCTGCATCCCCAGGGCACTGAGCATCCTTTGGGTGCTGAGCATCCCTGGTTTATCCTGCATTCCTGGGGCACTGAGCACCCCTGGGGCATCCAGCACCCCTGGGGATCTGTGCATCCCTGGGGCACGGAGCATCCCTCATTTGCCGATGATCCCCCATTTGCCCCATATCTCCGGGACACAGAGCATCCCTGGTTCACCCCAAAGCTCTGGGACACGGAGCATCCCCGGCTTGTCCCACATCTCCAGGACATGGAGCATCCCCGGTTCAGCCCACGTCCCTCGGGACACCCCCCCGTACCCAAATAAGCCGCATGGTTCTTCAGCTCCAGCGGGAACTCCTTCTCGAAGGCTTTCCGGGGTGGGACGATGCGGCCGCGCCGGCTCTCCTCCAGCACGGCCCCATCCCAGTCGTAGGCTCCCACCGTGCCGAAGAGGATCCCGTCCTGGGGGGGAAGCGAAGCGGGGGGTGACGCGATGCTGTGGCGGGATGGGAAGCCTGTGTCACACGCCTCGAGGCCATCGCGTGCATGGTGATGCCTCACTGTCCCCAACCCCCCCTCCCAAATGTCACCTGCCCAGCCTGGGACGCTCAGCGTGACGGGGACGCTCAGCGTGACGGGGACGCGCAGCCCCGGGATGAGCTGAGGATTATTTTCCGCTGCCCTCCCCGCTCCAGCCCTTCCCTGGGCCGGATCCTGTCCGTCCGGCAGCCTCACCTCCAGGAGGTGGATGGAGAAGCCGATCTGGGACATCTCCAGCTCGAAGGAGCTCTCGTTGTACCCGTGGGTGCCTGGGGAGGGGGAAGGAGATGGGATTCCTCCAGATGTGGTTCCAGATGTTTTTCCTGCAGCCCCCCACGGGGTCCGGGACTGGATCTGGCCCCACATCACCTTCCAGGCTGAAGATGCGGTCGCCCAAGGCGTCCACGATGTCGTTGAGGGCGGCCTCGTCGGTGACGTTGAAGAAGTATTTCTCATCCGGGTCGCTGGCGATGTACTTGATCTCGCGGATGAAATCCTCGGGGTCCTGCTGCCGGCGGAGGTAGTGCCCCAGCACCTGGGGAGAGGGGGGCCAGCGTCGGCCGGGGGCCGGATCCTGCCCCCAGTGCAGCCGGGATGGGGGTCCCCAGCATGGCACAAAGGGGAAATGGGGAAACTGAGGCACGGTGCCTGCTCCCGACTGGCGGGCAGGGAGGTGGCCGGGGCGCTCACCGCGATGGCATAGCGGGTGACGTTGCGCCTCTCGCACTCCGCCAGCGCCTCGGGCAGCTCCTCGCCATCGTGGGACTCCCCGTCCGTCACCACGATCATCAGCCGGGTGGCATCCGCGCGCCCGCCCCGCTCAGGGCTGAAGGCTTCCGTGCTGCCGGAATGGGTGGCCTGAGGCCGATCCCAACCCCGACCTGGACCCCAACCCCAATCCCGACCCCAGTCCCAATCCCAGTCCCAACCCCAATCCTGACCCCAGTCCCAGCCCCAGTCCTAACCCTGATCCCAATCCCAACCCCAATCCTGATCCTGATCCCAGTCCCAACGCTGATCCCCACCCCAATCCCAGTCCTGATCTCAATCCCAATCCTGATGCCAATCCTAATCCTAACCCAGATCCCGACCCTGATCCTGACCCCCAATCTCAATCCCGACCCCTATCCCAATGCCAACCCCAATCCCAATGCCAACCCCAACCCCAATCCCAACCCTGATCCCAAGCCCAACCCCGATCTCGATCTCAACCCCTACCCCGATCCCAATCCCAAACCCAACCCCGACCCTGATCCCGAACCCAGCGCCCATCCCGACCCCGCCGCCGGTGCCCACCACGCCCGGCGGATGGCGAAGGCCGTGCGCGTCTCCCGCCCCTCCTGCCGGCTGATGTTCTTGGCCGCCTCCACCACCTCCTCGGCCGTCCGGTACCGGCCCAGCACCCACTCGTGCACCGCCCGCTCCCCGTACTGCAGCACCCCCACCTGCGGGGGACAGGGTGCTGAGCCCGCGGCCCCGCGCCCCAAAACGTGTGTCCCCCCCCCCGCACGGTGCGTCCCCCAGCCCTCGGCCCCCCAAAAGCATCCCCAGCTGGCGTCGCCCCAGGGGTGGCATCACCGCAGGATGGCCCTGGGGACAATGGCATCGCCCCAGGGATGATGGCACTGCTCCAGGGATGATGGCACTGCTCTGGGGACAATGCCATCACCCTAGGATGCTGGCATCACCTGGGGACAATGGCATCGCCCCAGGGGTGGCATCACCACAGGGACAGCAGCATGGCCCTGGGGAGAATGGCATCAGCCCAGAGATGATGGCATTGCCCCAAGGACAATGGCATCGCCACAGGGGTGATGGCATCGCCCTAGGGGTGTCGGCATCGCCCTAGGGGTGTCATTACCCCAAAGGTGGCATCGCCCCAGGGACAACAGCATGGCCCTGGGGACAATGGCATTGCCCCAGGGATGGCGGAGTCACCCCAGGGATGATGGCATTGCCCTGGGAATGACGGCATCATCCGGGGGACCTCCTCACCCCAGGGACAATGACGTTGTCCTGGACATGGCATGGCCCTGGGGACATTGGCACGGCCCTGGGGACACCGGCAGGGCCCTGGGGACACCCCCTCACCTGGATCTGGCCGGGCCCGATGAAGAACTTGCTGAGGATGTTGCTGAGGAAGTTCTGCACCTCGTACCAGGGGTAGATGCTGTTGGAGCCGTCCAGGACGATGACGATGTCCATGTAGGTGGAGCAGCCTGCCATGGGGGACGCAGCTGGCACCGGCACGGCGCGGCACGGCCCGGCACGGGCTCCGCACACCGCAGCCGCCCCCCACTCACGCTGTGCCGGGGGCGCGATCGTCCCCACCGGCCGGAGGTCACCGTCCAGCCGGGCGCAGATGCCGGTGCTGAAGACGGAGGTGCCGCACGTCTGGGACCAAAGTGGGGCGCAAGCCTGCGGGTGACGGGGACGACACAGGGCACGGGCTGGGACCTGACCCCACGCCCGGCCGTGCCTCGGTTTCCCGCGGCGGGAGGCTCCCCTCACCACGAAGCCGCCGTCCTTGGAGTCCAGGAGGGTCATCCCGAGGTGCACGCTGCGGCCGGAGCCGGGGGAGAGCCAGGGCGCTGCGGATCCTCGGGGCCGGGGAAAGAGAGATGCCGGGGGTCAGCGCTGGGGTGACCCCCCCCGAGCCCCGCCGCGGCCGTGCCGGGACGGCTGCCGGCCTGGAAAGGGCAAAGCCGGGCGCGGATGCGGCCACCCGTCCCCGTGGGGCATGGCGGTACCGAGGTTGGCTTTGGCGCACGTGGCGTTGGGGGGTCCCACGCGACACTTGTAGATGTCACCTTGGCGGTCGCCGTCCCAAGGGGCCCCCACCAGCAGCCTGCGGGGACGTGGCAGCGTGAGGGGACACCGGCCGGGTCACCGGCACCACCCCGCTCCGGCTCGGCCACGACATTTCGGGGCGCAACGCCAAACCCTGCCCGCCCCCGCCGCCGGCACCGTGCCACGGCGTTTCCGCCACCGGCCCCGGGCTGCCGGCGGTTTCCGTCCGTCTGGCTGTCTGTCTGTCCTCCCTTTGATCGGCATCCCAACCCTGGCACAGGCACTGGGCCCCCCCGGTTTTACCGATGGGACCCTTATTTTCATGCCCCCCCCCCAAGCCGTGCCGGGGCAAAGCACAAACCCACGGCAAGGCTTAAAACTCCATTTCTGCCCCCAGAAAACACGGAGGGGCTTCGCCGTCCGGC